GGGCATCAACTTTGGGAACAAACTACAAAGTGTGAACCGGATCTTCAAATCTTGGATATAAAGTTGATAAAACAAAGGCATGCATACTTAACCCACTAATCAGAAGCTACTCGAACACATCAATGCGTGCCAACTAGTGGTCCTTTGGTCTCACAATCCCATTATACCTAAGAATGCCATTGCCATCATCTCAAACCAAAACTAATTTCTATCTCCTAATCAAATTCATAGGTTGCGTATTAATATATTCAATGTCAAATCCCATTTCCATTTGGAGAACATACGGAACCAATTTAATTTCATTCCCTCTATACACAATTATCATGAGCAAAACGAAGCATTCATTAGCAAAATCTCGATCAATAATCAACTTATACTGATATAAGTTTAAAAAATTCTTATATCAATTTTTAGTTACATATTTAAAATTTTTAAAAGTTGTTTTGAAAATTTAAATATTGCATTAATTGCTAAAATTTTGAAACAAGTAACTAAGAATTAGTATAACACTTACATTAATGTAAATTAATTGTAACACTTAATCTTAATATATGCAACAAGAAAACTTTTCGAAAATATGTGTCATTCTCTATTTTAACAGCTGCATTGCTATATGATGGGGAGCATTTTGCAAGCAAAGTAGGGAGCCAGTTGTCATTCAAGGGGTATATTTTAAGAAAGGAACGGATAGCCCCACTAGCATTGTATGAGATTGGGAGATGGCCAGATATGGGGGGATTTGGGCAGATGAGTTAGTGGAGATATGTATGTGGCCTCACATTTCTTCTCTAAAGATATATAAGGCTGAAATTGATATACACTGCACCCAATATGAAGTCAATTTCTGATACTGGTATAGGGCATTTCCATTCCCTTACTGATTGTGGTTGTTTTTTAAATGTGTTAAAAATATTATTATATATGATGAAGATTGCCAAGAAAAATGTGATGAAAGGTGAATAGAGGGATGCCAGCTTAGTTAGGAATTACTACTTTCATTCGATGATTCGGCCATGTGTTAGAATCTTTGAAGATGTAATTAATTAAGTGTGGAGTGGCCACAATGAGTGTTGAATCAAATGATTAATTAAAAATTTAAAAATTTTAAATTAAAAATATTATATTTAAATTTATTTTATAAGTGAAAAAATATTATAAAAAAGAGATGACTCTATCTCTTATTATATGATTCAATCAATATTAAAGAAATCAACAGTTATTGAAGATTAATGTAGCACAAGGATTGATTTTAATTAGTGCATGTGTGAGCGCATATATGCTACGGTATGAACAGAGGGACACAGATATGATTGACATTTTTTCAAACTAATTTAGAAGTCAAAAGTGGGATAGGTACTTTATTCTATATTCTGAATTACATACAGACAGAGGAAGTCAGTCCACCACCATTACCCACAATCGCCACCCGCACCACCAACACCACCAATAACTAGACAGACACGTTCTCAATTATATTATTATCATCTAAGGTAGAATACATAGTGGCAGCCTATTGTGGGTTCCTATCTCACATCGATTTGTAGGTGACTGAATTTAATAGAATATATATAATTTTAAATCATTAACTTTAGAGTTATGACATGTTTTATCCTCTATTTAAAACAAAATACATAGTGACAGAAGCTGCTAGAAATTCAGCTAATTTTTTTGGGGAGGATGAAGATTGCCTATAAATAGGGGTCAAACCGTAACCATTTTACAATCACAATTAATTGAGAGGCTTGGTTTCTCAAATTGTGAGTGACTAAGCGATAGATATATACATTTGGATAGACAGAGTAAGAGTAAGAATAAGTTAATTACGATCTTTCATTGGGTTCTTAAGCCCGAACATAATGAGGTCTACTGTTATAGGTGCTGCATTCTTGATTTTGCTCCTTGTGGACCTCGCATTTGCTGCTAGGTCATCCAAAGCTATTGCCGGAGGAGCTGGAAGAGGAGGTGATAGTAATGGTATTTTAGGGTCTGGTTCGGGATATGGTTCTGGATATGGTTCTGGGAGTGGCTATGGAGGTGGAAGAGGAGGGTCTGGTGGTGGGGGAGGTGGGGGTGGAGGTGGAGGTGGTGGAGGGTCAACTGGTGGATCAGGTTCTGGATATGGGTCGGGGTCTGGCTCTGGATATGGGTCTGGCAGCGGGGTAGGAGGTGGCGGAGGTGGAGGTGGTGGCGGTGGCGGTGGAGGTGGAGGTGGAGGTGGAGGCGGAGGCTCTGCAATGGGAGGTGGGTCAGGGTATGGATCAGGATACGGAAGTGGGTCTGGATACGGAACTGGTGGTGGTAGAGGAGGAGGTGGTGGTGGAGGAGGAGGAGGTGGTGGCGGTGGCGGTGGCAATGGTGCTGGCCATGGTAGTGGCTCGGGGTACGGCTCTGGATATGGAGGTGGTGGAGATGATTACACACCATGAAACAAGCGTTCTTGATTCAGGTAGCATTATTCAATATTTGAAATTTATAATTTTGGGAATAAAATTGCACCATGCCTGCATGCATCTGCATGGATTATTGGGTTGCACTTGTAGAAGTCTTATGTGGCACAAGACATCATATTACGTGTCACTATTACTATGGTATCAATTTTAAATAAAATTTACATAATGTTTTCTTATCTCTTTGAATAATCAAAATATTTTGGGTGAAACTGAATAATCAATTTTGCCGCTGAAGATTCACAAGCAACAGTTATCAACTGACATCACATGAAACCGTAATGGGATTTTCAACAATGCATCTTATAGATTCGCTAATCAGTGATTCAGAAGTAACAATTGCTGACTTTACTTTGGAAGTTACAAGTTTACAGCTACAAAATGAAATAAATGAAACTAACGCCATTTCTGCCCAGCAATAAGGACTATTCTAACAGCATCTCACTATTCTGCTCTGCTTATGGAAATTTCCCCTTTGCTCGCGACTGGCATCTCCATTTTCAGATTTGTCACTTACAGTGGCTTTACAGTGCGTAAATGAATGTCGACATTTTTCTAATCAACTATACGAGTAGAAAGTTGTTAAAGCAGGTTCCATCAACAGACTCAACAAGAAAGATCTTGGTAGTCAGAAAACTAATCCATTATCCTCTCAGAAGCATATGCCACCTTCTGCATTATCATGGACTCCGCTTGACGAATTGCTCTTTGTGATCCTGTGATTGTGACTTTCCTGCATAAGAGGTGCAAAATAGGAGAGTATTAGAGAAAACTTTTGCCCATGTGGCCAACCACGCTAAACTATCAGGATGCATGCAAAAAGTCTTTTCCATACCTATCCGTTGTTCCAGACATGAAATCTCCTCTATCTGATATCTTTATCTTGGCTCCACTAACCTGCAACACCAAAGTGCTCTGCCTCAGTACACATGTTTTCCTTTTTATCAGCATAGTACAAAATTTGACATTATGGAACCAAATGGTATTATTAATCATTTATAATTATAACCTAAGTACCTGACTAATTTCCACTATGTTCCTTCCTCCACGACCAAGAATTAAACCAACATGCTCATCTGCAACACCAATTGTGAGAGAGTTGCTACGGTCCTCCTGGAAACAGATTAATGTCTTCTGTTAGTCAAATTCTATTTAAGGATGAATGTGCTCATTTCAGAACATCAAACAACAAAATCAGGTTTACAACATGAAACAATGAGGTATTTGATTATTAATACATAATTTCCTAGAGTTAAGTTCTATCTCTAATTCTCCCTTGTTCTCTTTGTTGATATAATTTATCAGGTTACTGTAAAAGTAAAATAAGCACATTTTTAATATGATTTCTTCCTATCTCT